AAATTCAACTACAATATGTGAGACTGCGTTCCAGATTACTTGATGAACACATTTATCCACTGCTTTTAAATTGTGGTTATCTGCGACTTATAGTATTGACGTTTGTACTATTAAAAATGTGTACATATATTATAAATATAAATTAAATATGTATTATTCTACATTAAATATTTATGAACATTTGATATAAAATTATTAAATTAAACATAATAATAAAGTCTGTTCAGTGTTCAGGTGCCGATATAAATCTTTGCCAATTTGTGCTCATCTGTACACCTTACTTTTTTTTCCCTGTTTAAACCAGGAAAATTGTACTAGGCAAACAAATACTAATAAATTAGTCTAAAATAACAATAGAATTCTCAAATGCAGGCTAACTATCTTTCCACCCCGTTGCTCTAATACAGTCACATGCGAATTCTTAGGAGCAAAGAAGCATTCAGCAGCAGAGAGAAAGAAAAAGAGCAGGCACATGAAGGCAAAGCAACTGGTCTTGTGCCAAATTGTAAAACTTTTGAGAGAAACACCAACATTCACAATTGGGTTCCATGCAAAAAGAAACAAGTCAGTAATGATTTAATGATTTAACACACTGAACTCCTTTTACTTCCTGTCCATCTCAGTTCTCTAAGCATAGTTTCTTTCACCTCACTCTTGTCTATTTTTAAGTGAAGTGGGGTTCATTTCATTGATCAAGGATGGTGTTGTTACCAGAAAGCCTGATGTCCATCCCTGGATCCAACATTTTGTGCGCTCATACTCAGACCTGTGTACACAAAAACCACATAAACAAGCATATATGGTAATGTAAACAATCTAATCTAAAAGATTTTTTTAAATGATTAAAAAATATATCTGGAGGTTAACTGATTATTATATGTTCACTGAAAACGCTCGAGCGCAGTAGCCTACTGTTGCTATGGTTACGGGCAAAAGTGACTGTTCGCGATTTTGTGCTGTACGTAGCTGTAATATAACTTCTATGATTAGCCTACCGAAATGTTATTTGATAGTAAAAAGAATACTCGACATAGGCCACTTCGACTTAAAGACTTGTTCAGTGCTTGAATGGGGGGTAGTAAATGTATAAACGTTTTTCCAAAAAGCATAACAGTCTATACTCTCTCCCTTGTATCAGTTTTATGTAACAACGACTTGTTGTTGTTTGTCACACAACGTTCAAATGAAAAAGTGGGCTATATTTAAACAGCCATCGAATAAACTTAAAATATTTAGGGATTTACAGGTTAAAATGTTCCGAAAACTGAAATAAGCTCCTCTAAAGCTACCGTAACGAAAGCAAACTTAAACTTTGAATGAAAAATCTTACCTTTCAGTCTCAGTCTTGTGGAGATTTTACAGGTGTCTTGAATATATATTCCGTACTTAACAGGTGCTATAGGACAGTGTGAGAGTTTGGGGTACGTGTTTACACCCCTTTACTTCCTCACTGTCCGGCCAATCCACAGAAACCTCTTAAAGCCGCAGAACTTTACTGTTTCATCATATAAACGCCTGAACGCTTTGGCTAAGTTATGAAAGACTTGACTGTGTCTAAATCGATTTGGTATATATCGCAATCCTTTTGATTAGGGCATGAAACAGAGGGTTCTCTGTTCATTGAAAACAACTGTTTTTATATGCAACATGAATTTAAAATATTTGCCGTCTAAGTGTTTTCTGCATTGACAGTTAATCTGTTTAAAAGTTTTATAAACGATATGAAATCTGAGTTGTTGTCAGGAGCTGTTATACAGGTGCATCTCAATAAATTAGAATGTCGTGGAAAAGTTCATTTATTTCAGTAATTCAACTCAAATTGTGAAACTCGTGTATTAAATAAATTCAATGCACACAGACTGAAGTAGTTTAAGAATCCGTGTATCATTCGATCATTCGTTTTTTTATTTAATATTGAAAGTAGAAAAATGAGAAAACGGCACCTTTTTCGTTTTTTTGTTTTTTTCCCAAAAAACGAAAAAGGAGAATTCAGCTTAAATTTTCGTTTTTCGTTCTTGGGTGGAAAAATGAATAAACAGCTTGAATATTCGATTTCTACACGTGGGCGGGAATTAAACGCCCCTTTCTGCTGATTGATCAGCCGAAGATCAAACCGTGCCATCATCAGTTCTTCTTCAGTATCATGCAGCAGAATAATAGTCCTCCACTGCTGCACGGATTAATAACCCATTTTATTGCAACTACATTTCATATTTTTCTCATCAAACAGACTAATGAATAGCTCGACACAACTCGTACCGGGCCAGAGTCTAGTATAATTAATAAAACATTTAATAAACATTTAAACATGTCACATATAGCTGTAACTGTAAAAATTTAATCCAAATGTCTGAATCAAACACATTCCCCTTTCTGAAGGCCTCATACGAAGGGGTTAGTTAAATCTGGCTTCATCTCTTCAAATCCTGATTAGGCTGAAAGTTTCACTTAATGAAGGGAGGGTTTGCAGTGATCCTTTTTCTTTATGATTTGTGCTTGTTTATGTGTTTGTCCTGAGTGGGGTCATTGAATGGGTTAGGTTAAAGTAACTAGACATGTTTACTGTGGAAATTATATGAAGAAATGGGTTTTATCAATAAATGATGGTGAAAAGTTGGGAGGTCAGAAAATGTTGCAAGCCAGATTCAAACACACGTTACCTACATAAGCACCACAGCTCAATGTGTCAGTGCACTAACCACTAGGGGAACAACTCTGATGTTAAGCATACAACTGAAAAATATGTTTGATCAAAGAAGAAAATGTACAAATCTACAGAAAAAAAAACAATATTGAATATGTATTTTTTTTAAACTTCAGGATATGTAAAGAAGTAAAACATTTCTTTTTAAAAGTTAATTTATTTTTTCACATCTCCAATGTAGTTTTATTGGAAGATAAGATGACAAAAGGCACAAATTCACAGTAAAAGAAATAAAAAAAAACATGACATGACAGGGTGGGGTTAAACATAAATTCATAAAATTTTTTTGTATTTCTACAATCACTGGGGTTTTTAATTTCGACAACAAATCGTGAAATCTAACAACAACATATCTATGAGAAAGTCCTGTTTACTATGATCTGCTTTACATAATGGTAACACAAACTGTGGATGATCAGTTCATGTGGATAGTTCCCTTTTATAAGCCACCTGTCTGTCATTCAAACACCAGCTTGGACTGATCATAAAATATCTTAAAAGAGTTACAACAATATGAACTTATTCGACTTTATTTAAAGTCCATAAACTTGTTTTTGGACACGCCTGTGATGATAATAATGTGGTTCATGCAGACGCCGTGATTTAAGTAAGGGGCACATTCTTTTTTTCTTTTCTTTCTGTAGGCTAATCAGTTTAAAGAATGAATAATAAACATACCAGCCTATCAAAGCTGATCTAAATGAGGACTTCTAGGACCAGAGATTAAGGGTAAATTTCACCGTCCAAAAATCCCACCTTTGCTTTCTTTAATTATCTCAGAGCTGAACGAATCGATTTTTATTGCTATGGAGTAGGGCTGCACGATTAATCGCATGCGATATTTAACGTGCATCTTGTCAGAAAGCCGGTTCTGTAATCAGCGGTAAATCTCCATCACCTGCGGGCTTTCACATTGAGCACCACCTGTCTGTCATTCAAACACCAGCTTGGACTGATCAAGAACAAGTTTCATTCGAGTCTCCTGAGAGAAGAATGGCAACTTAGTCCAAAACACCCCGAAAGGTTCTTTTCTCAAGTTCAAAGGTCATAAACGTGGCTTCGTTCACAGTGTAAGCTTTGAAAGGAATTTAAAAGTGAAAGATTTCTACGGCTCACAGCAAAAATACAACAACAATTGATGAATGAAGACATATTTAGACACCATCCTGCCAAAGAGGAGCGGCCAGGGATGAGGGGCGGGGCCAGTGACAGTGATGGGCGGAGTCATCTGAAGGTTCAGTTATAGACTGTTCAAATCAATAGTTCAAATATAGTTTTTAATTTCACCATAATTCGCCACATTCCAAACAGTAACTTCACCCACAGATAACACCCAGCCATTACTAAACCACTAGATATAATTGATGGAAGGCTGTATGTGCTGATAGCCTGGCAGGATAGTCTGAGCTATATTTATATAGTTATATATATATATATGTTAATCTACATATATTTATATATTATATACAATTCAATACATACATCCATACATCACTTTGATTAGACTCAGGACCAACACAGTTCTGGTGTATCGGTGGTTGTATTATGACGGTAAAGATGTTTTAACACGTACAGTCTACACCATAAAACCTGCATACCCTTATTAAGAATTCAATGGAATTTTTATGAATTCAATGTAATTCTACAAGAATAATTTAATGCGCATCAATGGGTCCTGAGCATTGGCTGAAAGAAACACAAGGGTGTAAACCTCCATTCTAGTTACATGTCGGATGTCCCTCACGCAAAAACAAGAAACACTGAGAACTTCAAACGCACATACTTCCATACATCACATTACTAAGAAAAGACTGATTTAAAAACCCATGCTCAACCCATTTCATCTTCCTTACCTGATTCCAGGTAAGGAGCGATTGGAAGTGAGAGTATATTTGTATTAAAGTCCTAATGACGCAACATTCTGAGAGGGGATGGACTATACACTTCTAAAGTCACTATCTCACATCATGTATGTTGATTGGAAGGGTTTGTGAAAGGAGGTATTATTGCTAACAACTGGATAAATGTGTCTTTATCCTCAAGACAAGTAATAAAAGGGTAAGTGCGATAATCAATCCTTCAATAAAATGGACAGGAGGTGAGACATAACGTAAAATATCCTCCTTGAGCACCTCATCTGGTAGAGAACAAAATAGTCATAGTAAAATTTTATGAAAGATGTCAAGGCTAAAAGGTTTAGCTTTGCCTCTTCAAGTTCTTTCAAAGACAGTCAGCCACTGACTAAAGAAAAGGGCGGAGCCTGATCTATTCTTGTATCTATCTTGTATTTATCTTGTAAACCAATCAAAAACAGCCAAGGGAGAGAGAGCTACACCTACGGTACGCCTGTCTTTTTTATAAAAAATAAATAAATAAATACAATAACTTGACTAAAATAGCACACACACAAGGAAATTGTGGAAGAGATGACAATGAAACCATTAATATTGACTGATTAACAAACAACAATACTTCCAAGAATGTGATACTGTTCAATGAGTTATAAAAAACTCTGTCTTGCATTAAATTATGAACAGTACTTGCTGACATTTTAAGGTGACCAAGCAGCTGCCAAAAAAAATGAATCCACAATGCATGTTAAAAATAAATGAATGGTCAGGATGACACGACTATGATTGTACAATACTACACTATAAAGAGACACACTTACATCTTGGATCAGCTAGTAAATAGGCTAAAAAGTGGGTAAAATAAAATAAAAAAAATAAAGCAACAAAAACAAATCACTACAGATTAAAACAAAACAAGGAAAACCGGCTTGGTCCGCAAAACAATTAGGAGAACAATTACTTAAAAACCCTGTTTATACATCTGTCACAATAATTCCACTGCCAATAGATATTCTGAATATATATACACACAAATATCATCTGCTTTACATTAAACTTATCTTAAAACACAATTCTGCCGAGCTCCATATGTTAAGGTAATGATCTGACATCATAAATGACTAACCGCTGATCGTCCCTGTATTTAAGTAGGTAAGACTTCAGAAACTGGGCATGAGGATAGAACCGGAATAATAGCCTATTTAACTTGTCAATGTGCTCCATTGTCAGACTGAAAGGAGGATATGAAAGATGCTCAGGACAAACGGTCACCAAAAGAGCTGGATGAAGGACTTCCATTACGATTAAAAAGACATGTTGCTGTGATTTGAGGAGAGTGATGCTGCTGGTCTCCAGTAGTTCAGGTCTGATCTGAGAAAGACTCAGGAAATGAAGGAAATGACATGGCAGAGAGAGAGAGAACAAGAACATTCATTTACTCTAAAGGTTAAACACCACAGTTATGTTCAGAATAGATTACTAACATAATGATTGAATACGGTCCAGTACATACTACCATTCAAAGGTTTGGGGTCAGTAAGTTTCTTTTTTTTTTTAAGAAATAAATACTTTTTAGTCAGCAAGGATGCATTAAATTGATCAAAAGTAATAATGTTTTTTTTTTAATGCTACAACAAAATTCGTTTGAGTTTTCTATTAATCAAAGAATCCTGAAAAAAAAAGGTTTCCACAAAACTATTAATTAGCACATCGGTTTTTACATTGATAATTCTATGAAATGTTTCTTGAGGAGCAGATCAGCAGATCAGAATGATTTCTGAAGGATCATGAGACACTGAAGACTGGAGTAATGTTGCTGAAAATTCAGCTTTGACATCACAGGAATGAATTACATTTTAAAATATATACTCAAATAAAAAAGTTATTTTAAATTATAATAGCATTTCTTTTATCAAATAAATGCAAACTTGGTGAGCATAAGAAATATATTTCAATAATACAGAAAAAAAACATCAGGTGACATTATCAGCTGTGGCATACAGTTACCAACTTAAAAATACTTCTAGAGATTGTGTTCATTCATCACAATGTCAATGAAAGGCCAAGTTCAGTGCAATGCACTGTGGGAATATTCTATGCATACAGAAAATCTGCATACTGTACATACAATATAAACTATATACTCCCAATAATGTTAATGTGAGTATGCTATCCCAAACATAGCCTATATGTTGAATTCATAGACTAGGAAATATGAAATAATTTTTAAGTTCTCACTTGCGGTTTCAGATAAATGACATTAGGGGGCGCTAAAGATCATGAATTACCTTTATGAACAGCAGCATCCAGGAACACAGAGCAGCCTCAGTCTTCAAGAGCCACCATGCCTTTCACTGGATCCTTCACTCTCATCTGGAAGACAGCAATGGAAAAGCATGCATGTGTACATAAAGCAAATAGCTCCTTGCAGAAGAAGAAGGGGCTAAAAATGTGATTCAGGAAGGACTTATACTGATTTTTCTTTTCCTCTGGTAGATTACAGATCACTTGTGGAAGTCAAGGAGGAGACACTTGATTTCTGGGATAGTCCTGCAAAGTATGTGAAGCTGGGGATGCCGCCAATATGTGATGTCACTCATTCCCCAAACAGCACCTGAGAGCGCTGAACTGTGACCTGCTCCGCTCTGCTGCCCCTTTTGTTCGCAGTGACTGGACCTCATTATGGGCTACATTCAATTATTCATCTGCCTTGTTACACATAATCTGTACGGTGGGAAAATGTGTGGCAGGTCGAAGGCGACACTCAAAACACCAGAACATAAACAAAAACTCAGTCTCGCAACTAATGAATTCAGCTGTCAGTACTCTGTTAAATGTTTGTCTAACTGGCTAAAATTCATCATTACCATATAAAGGCTTGTTCAAACTACAACAGAGATGAGGAATAATTTAAAGCGGACAAAAACAAATGTAAATCTGCTGGAGGGCATCTCATCTGACCTCATCCAGTTCCCTCCTGGTCTCTTCCTCCATTCTGCGGATGTCGTCCATGTTCAGCTCGATCCATTTATCAATCCAACAGAACAGCTGCCGGTGGAAATTAGTGAACAAGCGCTTCTCTTGCTTTTAAAGGGAGAAAGAGGTACAAAATTCATTTTGGAAGATGAATTTTATATAGGTTGAACTGATATCCACAAGATGCCATGACATGAAATTTAAAGTCAACATTAAATGGTAATCACAACTGATTTTATTTACATAAAACATTAGGATGGAACTTAATTTTTATCAGGAATTAGACAACATGCTATTTATATAAATTAATGGTAACTGTAACTTTCTGATGCCATTTGTTTATGTGTAAAAAAAAAAAAAAAGATTTTAATCAGACTTCCAGCCATACACTACCATTCAAAATATTTGGATCAGTAAGATTTCAAGTCAAAATGCTGCATTTATTTGATCAAAATACAGTAAAAACAGTAATATTGTGAAATTTTATTAAAATTGAAAACTGTTTTCATATGTTTAAATTAATAATTTATTCATGTGATGTCAAAGCTGAATTTTCAGCATCATTATTCCAGTCTTCAGTGTCTCATGATCCTTCAGAAATCATTTAAATATAATGACTTGCTGCTCAAGAAACATTTCTTATTATTCTCAATGTTGAAAACAGTTCTGCATAATATTTTTATGGAAACCATGACACATTTTTTCAGAATTCTTTGATGAATATAAAGTAAAAAAAAAAATAAAAAATTATTTAAAATATAAATCAGATTTTAATCAGACTTCCAGCCATACACTACCATTCAAAATATTTGGATCAGTAAGATTTCAAGTCAAAATGCTGCATTTATTTGATCAAAATACAGTAAAAACAGTAATATTGTGAAATTTTATTAAAATTGAAAACTGTTTTCATATGTTTAAATTAATAATTTATTCATGTGATGTCAAAGCTGAATTTTCAGCATCATTATTCCAGTCTTCAGTGTCTCATGATCCTTCAGAAATCATTTAAATATAATGACTTGCTGCTCAAGAAACATTTCTTATTATTCTCAATGTTGAAAACAGTTCTGCATAATATTTTTATGGAAACCATGACACATTTTTTCAGAATTCTTTGATGAATATAAAGTAAAAAAAAAAATAAAAAATTATTTAAAATATAAATCTTTCATTAATATAAACATTTCGTAAATGTCTTTACTGTCACCTCTGATCAATTTAATGCGTCCTATTTGAATAAAAGGGTTTTTTTTGGTTTTTTTAACAGTAGTGTATATTGATTGTGGCTTGAAAAGAGTTGGCAAACAACACATTTTATGTTTTTTGACTATAAAAAAACTAAATGAATTTGAGTTGGATAAGGCAAAAATTGCGGCCTTTACCAACAAAGCCTCTATGACAGGTGAAAATAAGAGGGCCAAAAATGTAAGTCCTCTCAGTAAACTTTATTTTTAAGGAATAACATCCACAGATGAATCATACACGATCAGACCAGGAACATGCACTAAATATGGTCAAATCTGATTTCATGTCAAACTCTTTAATCAATCACATATACTGTAGATGTTTTACACTGACCTTTTGAATAAAGTTTTCCACTTTGTTTTGCAGGCCCCACCACTTGAACTTGACAGTAACCAGTTTGTAGGCACACATGTGTGGGCAGTCTGTCTTTTTAGGTAGCTCTTTCTACACAGACCCAAAATCCATTAAGCATTTGCATATAATTTCCCAATAATAAGCTTCCCACTCATACATCAAGCATGCACTTACTACATTTACACAAATTTTATTCAAGCACACAGCCATTAGAGAACAAAATAGTCATAGTAAAATTTTATGAAAGATGTCAAGGCTAAAAGGTTTAGCTTTGCCTCTTCAAGTTCTTTCAAAGACAGTCAGCCACTGACTAAAGAAAAGGGCGGAGCCTGATCTATTCTTGTATCTATCTTGTATTTATCTTGTAAACCAATCAAAAACAGCCAAGGGAGAGAGAGCTACACCTACGGTACGCCTGTCTTTTTTATAAAAAATAAATAAATAAATACAATAACTTGACTAAAATAGCACACACACAAGGAAATTGTGGAAGAGATGACAATGAAACCATTAATATTGACTGATTAACAAACAACAATACTTCCAAGAATGTGATACTGTTCAATGAGTTATAAAAAACTCTGTCTTGCATTAAATTATGAACAGTACTTGCTGACATTTTAAGGTGACCAAGCAGCTGCCAAAAAAAATGAATCCACAATGCATGTTAAAAATAAATGAATGGTCAGGATGACACGACTATGATTGTACAATACTACACTATAAAGAGACACACTTACATCTTGGATCAGCTAGTAAATAGGCTAAAAAGTGGGTAAAATAAAATAAAAAAAATAAAGCAACAAAAACAAATCACTACAGATTAAAACAAAACAAGGAAAACCGGCTTGGTCCGCAAAACAATTAGGAGAACAATTACTTAAAAACCCTGTTTATACATCTGTCACAATAATTCCACTGCCAATAGATATTCTGAATATATATACACACAAATATCATCTGCTTTACATTAAACTTATCTTAAAACACAATTCTGCCGAGCTCCATATGTTAAGGTAATGATCTGACATCATAAATGACTAACCGCTGATCGTCCCTGTATTTAAGTAGGTAAGACTTCAGAAACTGGGCATGAGGATAGAACCGGAATAATAGCCTATTTAACTTGTCAATGTGCTCCATTGTCAGACTGAAAGGAGGATATGAAAGATGCTCAGGACAAACGGTCACCAAAAGAGCTGGATGAAGGACTTCCATTACGATTAAAAAGACATGTTGCTGTGATTTGAGGAGAGTGATGCTGCTGGTCTCCAGTAGTTCAGGTCTGATCTGAGAAAGACTCAGGAAATGAAGGAAATGACATGGCAGAGAGAGAGAGAACAAGAACATTCATTTACTCTAAAGGTTAAACACCACAGTTATGTTCAGAATAGATTACTAACATAATGATTGAATACGGTCCAGTACATACTACCATTCAAAGGTTTGGGGTCAGTAAGTTTCTTTTTTTTTTTAAGAAATAAATACTTTTTAGTCAGCAAGGATGCATTAAATTGATCAAAAGTAATAATGTTTTTTTTTTAATGCTACAACAAAATTCGTTTGAGTTTTCTATTAATCAAAGAATCCTGAAAAAAAAAGGTTTCCACAAAACTATTAATTAGCACATCGGTTTTTACATTGATAATTCTATGAAATGTTTCTTGAGGAGCAGATCAGCAGATCAGAATGATTTCTGAAGGATCATGAGACACTGAAGACTGGAGTAATGTTGCTGAAAATTCAGCTTTGACATCACAGGAATGAATTACATTTTAAAATATATACTCAAATAAAAAAGTTATTTTAAATTATAATAGCATTTCTTTTATCAAATAAATGCAAACTTGGTGAGCATAAGAAATATATTTCAATAATACAGAAAAAAAACATCAGGTGACATTATCAGCTGTGGCATACAGTTACCAACTTAAAAATACTTCTAGAGATTGTGTTCATTCATCACAATGTCAATGAAAGGCCAAGTTCAGTGCAATGCACTGTGGGAATATTCTATGCATACAGAAAATCTGCATACTGTACATACAATATAAACTATATACTCCCAATAATGTTAATGTGAGTATGCTATCCCAAACATAGCCTATATGTTGAATTCATAGACTAGGAAATATGAAATAATTTTTAAGTTCTCACTTGCGGTTTCAGATAAATGACATTAGGGGGCGCTAAAGATCATGAATTACCTTTATGAACAGCAGCATCCAGGAACACAGAGCAGCCTCAGTCTTCAAGAGCCACCATGCCTTTCACTGGATCCTTCACTCTCATCTGGAAGACAGCAATGGAAAAGCATGCATGTGTACATAAAGCAAATAGCTCCTTGCAGAAGAAGAAGGGGCTAAAAATGTGATTCAGGAAGGACTTATACTGATTTTTCTTTTCCTCTGGTAGATTACAGATCACTTGTGGAAGTCAAGGAGGAGACACTTGATTTCTGGGATAGTCCTGCAAAGTATGTGAAGCTGGGGATGCCGCCAATATGTGATGTCACTCATTCCCCAAACAGCACCTGAGAGCGCTGAACTGTGACCTGCTCCGCTCTGCTGCCCCTTTTGTTCGCAGTGACTGGACCTCATTATGGGCTACATTCAATTATTCATCTGCCTTGTTACACATAATCTGTACGGTGGGAAAATGTGTGGCAGGTCGAAGGCGACACTCAAAACACCAGAACATAAACAAAAACTCAGTCTCGCAACTAATGAATTCAGCTGTCAGTACTCTGTTAAATGTTTGTCTAACTGGCTAAAATTCATCATTACCATATAAAGGCTTGTTCAAACTACAACAGAGATGAGGAATAATTTAAAGCGGACAAAAACAAATGTAAATCTGCTGGAGGGCATCTCATCTGACCTCATCCAGTTCCCTCCTGGTCTCTTCCTCCATTCTGCGGATGTCGTCCATGTTCAGCTCGATCCATTTATCAATCCAACAGAACAGCTGCCGGTGGAAATTAGTGAACAAGCGCTTCTCTTGCTTTTAAAGGGAGAAAGAGGTACAAAATTCATTTTGGAAGATGAATTTTATATAGGTTGAACTGATATCCACAAGATGCCATGACATGAAATTTAAAGTCAACATTAAATGGTAATCACAACTGATTTTATTTACATAAAACATTAGGATGGAACTTAATTTTTATCAGGAATTAGACAACATGCTATTTATATAAATTAATGGTAACTGTAACTTTCTGATGCCATTTGTTTATGTGTAAAAAAAAAAAAAAAGATTTTAATCAGACTTCCAGCCATACACTACCATTCAAAATATTTGGATCAGTAAGATTTCAAGTCAAAATGCTGCATTTATTTGATCAAAATACAGTAAAAACAGTAATATTGTGAAATTTTATTAAAATTGAAAACTGTTTTCATATGTTTAAATTAATAATTTATTCATGTGATGTCAAAGCTGAATTTTCAGCATCATTATTCCAGTCTTCAGTGTCTCATGATCCTTCAGAAATCATTTAAATATAATGACTTGCTGCTCAAGAAACATTTCTTATTATTCTCAATGTTGAAAACAGTTCTGCATAATATTTTTATGGAAACCATGACACATTTTTTCAGAATTCTTTGATGAATATAAAGTAAAAAAAAAAATAAAAAATTATTTAAAATATAAATCTTTCATTAATATAAACATTTCGTAAATGTCTTTACTGTCACCTCTGATCAATTTAATGCGTCCTATTTGAATAAAAGGGTTTTTTTTGGTTTTTTTAACAGTAGTGTATATTGATTGTGGCTTGAAAAGAGTTGGCAAACAACACATTTTATGTTTTTTGACTATAAAAAAACTAAATGAATTTGAGTTGGATAAGGCAAAAATTGCGGCCTTTACCAACAAAGCCTCTATGACAGGTGAAAATAAGAGGGCCAAAAATGTAAGTCCTCTCAGTAAACTTTATTTTTAAGGAATAACATCCACAGATGAATCATACACGATCAGACCAGGAACATGCACTAAATATGGTCAAATCTGATTTCATGTCAAACTCTTTAATCAATCACATATACTGTAGATGTTTTACACTGACCTTTTGAATAAAGTTTTCCACTTTGTTTTGCAGGCCCCACCACTTGAACTTGACAGTAACCAGTTTGTAGGCACACATGTGTGGGCAGTCTGTCTTTTTAGGTAGCTCTTTCTACACAGACCCAAAATCCATTAAGCATTTGCATATAATTTCCCAATAATAAGCTTCCCACTCATACATCAAGCATGCACTTACTACATTTACACAAATTTTATTCAAGCACACAGCCATTAGAAGTGCTTTAAAATATATCACCCTCCAATCCGGACCGAGCGGCCCTCTTCCAGTCTTTGCAGACTTAAACTTAGTGGGGTCTTCCTCTGGTTTATAGTCCTATAGACAGATAACACTGATCAGATTAGAAAGTAACAGGTAGCAATTTTATCTAAGTGAAGCCCACCTTTAGCTCCACCTGACTCCGGTCTGCGATGTCTAAGTACACCACCTCCACCTTCTTCCAGGTGTCTGGGTCTAGCCCGTGAACCTGTACAGATGAACACAACAATCATGCTTGAGAACATGATTATCAGGCTTTACACAAAATTGTAGAGTTCACACACAAACTATACTCACATTTTCCTGCTGTCCCATGTCGGGTTTGTGCCACGTCTCAATCTTGATGAGGAAGTTTTCTTTCATATACTCATTCTAAAAACACAGATAATCAATGAACAAACTGATAAACCATAACTGATGGACAGACTCCGCAGTGACATACTGACGTCTGTCCTCTCTCCTTTCACTCCAGCTAAAGTTACTGTCTTCTCTTTCACTCAAACAGTGAGTGTTTGTATGTGCTTGTTCTGTACATCAACATGTTTGTTCATTCATATGACAAGTGTTACTAGAAAAATACATATTTGTGTACTTGCAAAGAGTGTATACTTACAGTAATTACTGACGGGTGATGCAGGCCAGACAATGGGGGAGACAGGATAATAAAATATGAATTAGATCATTTCTAAGAAAACATCACATCTCATTTAAGACCATTTCTAATTTTATTTAACCTCATTTTAGCCCATGTGAATTTAGTCTGGAAGTAAAAATACTAAAATAATATCCATATTCAAACTCAAGATATTCAGACTATGAATCATTATTCATAAATTCTGACTACTTAAAGTCAGCATGAAATGAAAATTCACCCTATCTATTTCTCAAATGTATGCTATTTATCTTACTGCGAACGATTCATCTAGGCATGCATTATTATTATTATTATATTATATATATTATTATCTCGATTCCAATAATTTAGTCTGCTTAAACCCAGTCCCTCCACAACTGACCCCACAACAACAAAAAAACTCCCACAACCTGAAATCCAATCAACAACCGATGGATTATTTTATTTTTCAATAATCTGTTGCACTCAGATGTACATCACAATAAAGAAGAAAAGATCTATCACTACTTCCATTTTATTATCAGACACCCATTTTCTACAAGTTGGTATGATTTTTAGGGTCTTCGTGAAATGTCTGTAAAATACTTAGTTTAAAATTTCTCAATGGGAGAAAATGAAGACACTTAAATGCTCACTTTTACATCCAACTTCAAAACACCTGCATTGTGAGACATTGTTGTCGCTACAGCTGCTCGAGCGCGGAGAAAATGGCGGGACAGCATACAACTGGTTGAGGGCGGAAATATGTTAATATGGGACAGTCCGTCAGCAGACTTGATAACGGAGACTGCTTAGGTTTTTTGGGGTGAATGGATTTTTATCATTGTAGGGTGGTTGTGTCCACACACTGCTAAGACACATTAATATCCAAACACCATGTAAAAGTTAATTTTGCATCCGATGTGCCCTTTAAGATTTTTTTATTTCTTAATTTTACAAGGTAAGGTAAAATTAGGTTGCCAACTTTTGTAATTTGCATTGAATACAAAAATCCCATACTGACTCCTGAAACAGATGTCTGGACATTTCCTGTGAAGGAACAGTAGAAGCTAGAGCTCTTGGCTCTTAATTGAATACCTCTGCCACACTACAGTGTTACTGTATATGTAGACACCTTGACTTGGACAAATAGTGGAAAACACATTTCTTTCTTCTAGCAGCTTGCTTACAGTTGGCCAATAATCTCAGAAAAAATAATTTTGTTATTCAATATTTATATTATTTAATAATTAGAAAATTCAGTACAGCTCAATACTTGCCATATCAGCTTTTTCCATTTATTCAAAAACAAAACTGTAGACTTCAGTTTGTTTTAAGCACTGCAGTGAGATTTAGAAATATCTTGATAACATTATTCAGCGAATGGGGAGTCTGTCGTCTATGCGGCTGTGAAAATGATGTGAAGGGAATGTGTCAGTAGTATAATCTCAGTTTCCTGTGCTGTAACTCCACTCCTGCTCAGCTCAAACAGTGAATTATTCAGTGCCCGCAAATGCAGTGACAGAGAAAGAGACAAGGAGAAATAGATAGGAAGACATAATAATAAGAAAGCAAGAGAAACAACGAGCACATGAAAAGAAATTTAGCTTCTAAGTGTGTGTGTGTGTGTGTGCGTATGTGTGTGTGTGTGTGTGTGGGTATGTGTGTGTGTGTTACCTGTGCGGCAGTATGGGTAGGCGTTCCAAGCTTTCTCATGAATGTTCAGTGCTGATGCTGGTGCAAGCATTCGTACAAATGACGGGACTTTACTGAAAAAGCAAAAATGCAATTAGAAGTAGACTATAGACAAAATAAACAGAAATGTGTCTTTTTTTGTTAAAATTCTTTCTCCGAAACGTTGCTCTGTTTGTTTGAGCAATTTAACCAGGTCAACATAGCAATAGTGGCTCAACCAATGGTGTGAGTTTGGGGCGGGGCTATCTGTTTGCCTGACCAATAACAGACAATGGAGGTATTTTGGAAATCTGTTTGTAAACATTCATTATTTTTACATTTCTTTTGACTTAAATTACAGACGTCACTTTTACCGTAAAGTGTTACTTAACAGAAAATGAAGCAAAAGGAAAAGTTAAGCACCAAAATGTCAAAACAGCATCATAAAAGTACATAAAAATAGTCCATATCATTCATAGTCTGAGTGTTCTAAAGCAATTTGATAGTTTTATGTGAGGAACCAACAAAAGACCATTTTTATGGTGCTTTTTGTCATTTTTTTGAGTTCAACAGTTCATTGTGTGGAAAATAACAACCAGGACATTCAGCTAAACTTCTTTATTTGTGTAAGATCAAATGCCATACTGGTTTGGAACAACTTGAGGATGTGTAAATGATTAACCTATTTTTTATTATTTTATTATTACACGTGTGTCTGTGGGTTTGTGTAATTGTGAGCACCTCTGCAGGTGGTAGATTTTGTGTGTGTACTGTCCCTTCTCTCCATCCTTCTCATAGGGTTCGTTCTTCAACACCTCCACACCCTCTCCTCCACCCGTCTCGTTCTTACTGGCCTCTGCTACTGAGTACAGCTGCCCGACCTGATACTGTGGGACACACAGAAATGCATTCCACAATCTCAAACTTCATAAGCATGTCTGTATTCAAATATGAGGAATATTTGAACACTACAGTCTATTAATCCTGGTTTCTCCTGTTTCTGTGTGTGTGTTTCCCTCCTCTTCTGCTGAACTATGCTGAATAAACAATAGCCTCTTTCATATCTTAATCACATATAATCCTGTAGGGAATATAGTTAGAATATAAACACACGCACACATCGTACAGAGTAAACACTGCAAAAAGTTCAGTCAAAATTCAGATTATAATCTACTAATGATGCTCATTTTCAATTTAAAGCTTATGACTGGACATTTAGACATCGCTAAAGCAATTTAGATTTTTTTTTTTTTTATAGCCATACAATAATCTTGCTGCTTAATTACAAAAATACATAAATCAATAAAAAAAAGCATTCACAATATACACTTGGCACATGCCCCCTAAATTTGAATGGGCATGACAATATAAAATGAGAAAACTTGAAGATATTGTTTAGTAAAATTAGTCTATTTTGTTGTGTGCTATTAAAAATAAAGGTTCAAAAAAGTGTGTTTTTTCAGCAATGCAATAGAAGAACGATTTTAGGTTTCCCAAAGAACAATTCAGCAAACAGTTCTTAAACCCTTTTTTTTTTCAAAAACATTTGAATATAAAGACCCTTTTCCACTATAAAGAACATTTTGTCCAATTGAATGATTCCATGGATGTTAAAGGTTCTTCAGGGAACCATACATGCCAGTAAAGAACCTTTATTTTTAAGAGTGTAGATCGAGAGATTTAGTGTCCTGACACGCGTACACTGTCAGCAGCCTTCACTCAGAGTCTAAGCTGAGCCAGCAGCAAAGACTCGAGCTAAAACACCTCCTGAATCTTACCTAGAAACAGCCCAGCTGCTTAAATGTGGGCATTCATCCCTAAACACACCGTCCATCACACATAAGCGTGTGTGTGTGTGTGTGTGTGTGTGTGTGAGAGAGAGAGAGAGAGAGAGAGAGAGAGAGAAAGAGAGCGAGAAAGAGATCAGTCTGATAATATTTCTTTCTCTGCTCTCACTGACCTAATTGGAGCCAAATGGTCTCTTTGGCTATAATGCAAAGATCATTAACCGTCTTTCTTGGCTAGTATATATATACATGGATGGATTTCATGATTCCTGTGTAGTATGTGGAACTATGTCTGTGGTTCTGTATCTTCATGCAGTGTCATCATTCCTCTGCCAATTAGAGATTTCCTCTGTCCTCTTAGCCAATCAGACGCCATTAGCAGAATGCGTGACTTTGCAGCACTCTATGAAAATCCAACCTACATCACATATTATCATCCCACTCGCACTGCAAACCACACACACACACACACACACACACACACACACACAGCATTGGACAGGGTTTCGTCTGCAGCGGATGTGCTATTTTTTGTATTAGTGTGCCATACATCTATTTTTAAAGTGACAGTGTATAAAACCGTAATCTTTTTGAATGAGCAGCATGTGATAATGTGTAGGCTACATGAGAGTGTGGTTAAGCCCTGATTATAGTTCACTGATGGTGATGGACAGGCTAAAAGATGTGAGCTCAGACTAATCGACAGGCTAACAGAGGGAAAGGATGTCTCATGCGCCAGCCAGTCTACAATGACAGACAGCTTGTGGTGTTAGTGTGCGTGTATGATTATAAACAGGAGGAGGAAGAAGGGTAGAAATGAGGGAGTGTCATAAGGGGGCATAAACTGTCCAGCTGCCCTTAAGAAAGTAAGCTTTCTTAATCCATCATTCCCTGCTGAATGAAAGGACTCCAGGAATAGCATTTTGCCCTCTTGTTTTAAACAACATCCGCCAAATAAAATGTGTCTTTAAGGCTCCTGAAAGCAGATAAAGGATCAGGGCTTTAATTCATGTGAGCTTATCTGACAAGAGCTGCTCTCTGCTCTCAGTGCTCAAAAGTAAGTCGATTGTCATTATTTATTCACATCTGCAAACTTGGGAGACTAATGACCAGTGGTGATTCATTTTATGAAAATGGGAGGCACAGAGGGCCAAAATTTGCAGAGAGAGGAATTAATATCATGCCATGATTCAATGTTTTTGAAATGTGGATTCAAGATTTCATCCTTATTATTTTCAAGCAATCTAAGAAATATTAGTCAACAATATGTTTTTTATGTGTGAGTTTGAATCATTCAGTCAAACGATTCATTCAAAACTCTAATTCATTCAGCAACAAAACAAGTGAGTGAGTCACTGAAAAACTCAACCGATTCGTTTTAAAATTCATTCAGAAACGAAAAACACTTTGTGTTGCTCTGAGATGCGTGACGCTTCTGCTTTGACATTGTTTGGGACTGTTACATTGTCGTATTAAGTAGCTGACAATATTGTGCCTAAAATGTAAGTTACTCAATCCACTTTATTTTTAACGTAAGAGAAGTTGTGGACCTTTTCAACTAGAATGTGTATGGCTTCCGGTGTCAGACGATTCCAGTTACTTTTGCTGTACAATAATACAGTTAAGTAGTATTTATTATCATATTATTTTATTATCATTATCATAAACACACTAGGTTTACTGCACTGTTATTCTAATTGTTTATTTAACATCTAAGTCTTGAATGAAATCTTGTGCATTGACAGGATATCGTTTACTTCCACATTGAAAATAAAGGTTGTTATTAACTTCTTTTTTTATTGAACTGCTGCATAAAATCAATATTATAATCACAATCTTGCAGTATTTCAGTACACTGCAGTATTTATAAATACTGCAGTGAAACTATACTTTTCAAGATCTACATATTCACAAAATAAACCTCTATGAATTATAGATCAACCTTTATAAATGAATTGGCTTCCCTTAAATGTCCATTTTCCACTGAAGCCAATCATATTTTATCTGCAATGTCTTTATGCTAATGACAGCATTTCAACAATAAGGATCATTACTCTGACTGAAAATACACTAATCAATGAAAATGATGATGAAAGTGTGAAACTAGAAATGTTCACCCACCCTTGGTTCATTCAACTCAATTTAAATCTAATCTGCTCAACATCCATTTAATTGTGCAGTCTTAATGAATGTAATGCAATGCAAAAGCTGCTTTTTAACCTTTTAAACTCCCACTGGGTGCAAGGAAAAGACTCTGACCTGACACGAAGGGCTTATATTAAAATGTCTCGTCCTAGACATATTTTACGTGACACAACTGATAAGACTATTATCCTAATGAATCTTGGCTGTCAGTACTTTTTTGCAGAATATGCTGAGGTATGTAAAAATGAGTGCAGATGAAGAGGGGCCTCACAAGGTGGAAGCAGCCCTTTAATTTGTATAATCTGGTCTAGAGGAAGGGTTTGTCCCCCAGGGCAGATCCCACCTGCTCATATGGCACCAAAGATACCAGGAAATTACTAGGCCATGGTTTATAAAGACATAAACAGCTGGAGTCAGGTAGTCTAAAAGCAGCTGAGATGCTTTATGTGATCAGATTGGTAATTATGTGACTGGATCTTAAAGAAATAGTTTAATAATAGCTGGAATACCTGAAATTTGCTGAAAACTTACTCACCCACAGGCCATCCCTTGCTCACCAATGGATGGTAAACGGGTGCCAACAGGAATGAGACAGCTTATAAAAACATCACAATAATCCAAAAGTAATCCACATGACTCCAGTCCATCATTAATGTGTTGTGAAGTGAAAAGCTGCATGTTTGTAAGAAACAAATCCATCAAGACATTTTAAATTCTGTCCATAATTGATAGTAACACTTCCTCCAGTGAAAAAACCTATCCCCCGTTGTCCTCTCACATCAAAATTCACAGACATATTTGTTTAGACCAGTTTTAGACTGTTTTCGCTTGTAAATAGTGCATGATCTGTGCATATTTCTCTCCTGATTCAGATTAGAAAGCAATATTATGGATAGAGGACTCGTATTTTAGCCAGAAGCAATGGTGTGAATTTAAAAACGTCTTAAAGTGCCCTTATTATGCCATTTCGAATATTGCCTTTCATTCAGTGTGTAATGTAGCTGTATGTGAATATAAATGATCAGCAAAGTGCACGATAAATGAAGTTATTGTCTCCCAAAAGAAAGAATCGACTCTGAACAGCCTAAACGAGTCATCGGTAATTTGAATCTCACCTATGTTCTACGTTGGCTGGGCGCGAACAACTTTAGTACAACCCCAATCTTTTTTTGTGTTCCTGTCATTTTACTGACGACTGCTTCTCTAATCGTGGGGAGTTCAACACGGGATTCACAAAACGCTTGCTCTTGAAAGATGGCTCAGTACCCAGTTTATCTGGACCAGCTGGCTCCACTGAATCACACCCTGTAAGCATGAGAAATTCTATCAAGATTTCTATCAAGTGTTCAAAATACGGATCACAACAGACTGGGCCATCTGACCAATCAGAGCAGAGTAGCACACAGAAAGGAGGGGTTTAGAGAGACCGAATCTTAGAATTGCTTCGAACGAATCGTTTGAGAATTGTTGGAAAATTAGGTGATGTTAAATGCATATTTTGAGAAAATGAAAGCGTTTTTTGACCTTGCATGCATGTAAACCTATTGTAGGAGACTCCCAAAACAATATTAGGAACCCTAAAAATGGCATAATAGGGGCACTTTAAATGGCCTGAAACTTCGCCTCCTCAATTCAGAACACCACACCATATACAGTTGTGCTCATATTTTTACATACTTCTCGCAGAATGTGCAAAATGTTAATAATTGAATCAAAATAAGAGGGATCATGAAAATTGCATGTTATTTTTTATTTAGCACTGTCCTGAATAAGCTATTTCACATAATAGTCCCCACAAACCTAAAAGACAGATTTAATCCAATACTGTAATGAGAGCTAAACCTGACTTACTTCTGATGATAAATGAGTTTAGAGGACGAAAAACTCTTTTCGACGTATGAAATTGATGAGTGAATAGCAATTATTACATATAATATCCATTAAATGCATGTTTC